AAGAGACAACTAATTTTCTCCTGAGGTTCACATGCTTGCCAACACGCTACGTCCCCGTTGTGTCGACCAACACTTGGTGGTTCGGCGGCTAAGAGGTGTTGCACGAACCTCATCCACACAATTGGACACCGCAAGAACCTACCCACAAGTGAGGTAACTCAATGACGCGAGCAATCCACTAGAGTTAACTTTCGGCGCTCCACCGGGGAAGGTACAAATCCCTTCACAATCACCGGAGATGGCCACGAACAATCACCAACCCGTGCCAATCCTCCCCCGCTACTTCAAGCCGTCTAGGTGCCACCAAGAGCAACAAGCGAATCCCGCAGCGAAACACGAACACCAAGTGCCTCTAGATGCAATCACTCAAGCAATGCACTTGGATTCTCTCCCAATCTCACAAAGATGATGAATCAATGATGAAGATGAGTGAGAGGACTTTGGCTAAGCTCATAAGGTTGCTATGTCAATGCAAATGGTCAAGAGAGTGAGCTTGAGCCAGCCATGGGGCTTAAATAGAAGCCCCCACGAAATAGAGCCATTGGGCTCCTCACTGCACTGAACACGGGCCGACCGGACGCACCAGTCAAATTGACCGGACGCTGGACCTCAGCGTCCGGTCGCGCGATGCACGCCACGTGTCCCCTCTCTTCAAATACTGAGCGCCCGATTCCAATGGTTAAGTGATGACAGGACGCGCTGCTGTGAAGTGACCGGATGCTAGACCTTAGCGTCCGGTCGTTTCCAATAAGCATCCAGAAGTGAGAAATGCGTCCGGTCATGCTCGACCGGACACACCCAGCGTCCAGTCACACGGCGTCTCCCCTGTGCGCTGCCACGTTAGCAGGACCGGATACACCCCTCCAGCGTCCGGTCAGAGACCGATGCCAGCGTCTTTGTAGCTTCTATTGACCGGACACGCCGGTCCAACTGAGGCCAGCGTTCGGTCACTTACAGTGACCTCCGTCTTTCTGTATAGGGCGCCGGTGGCACCGTCGGACTGTCCGCACTCTACGGGCGGACACTCCGCCGGCGAAGTTCCTAACCCTTGCTCAAATGTGCCAATCACCAAGTGTATCACCTCGTGTACATGTGTTAGCATATTTTCACAAATGTTTTCAAGGGTGTTAGCACTCCACTAGATCCTAAATGCATATGCAAAGAGTTAGAGCATCTAGTGGCACTTTGATAACCGCATTTCGATATGAGTTTCACTCCTCTTAATAGTACGGCTATCGAACCTAAATGTGATCACACTCGCTAAGTGTCTTGATCACCAAAACAAAATGTCTCCTACCACTTATACCTTTGCCTTGAGCCTTTTGTTTTTCTCTTTCTTCTTTTCAAGTCCAAGCACTTGATCATCACCATGCCATCACCATCATCATCATGTCAGAGTGTTCATTTGTTTCACCACCTGGAATGTGCTACCTATCTCATGATCACTTTGATAAACTAAGTTAGCACTAAGGGTTTCATCAATTCACCAAAACCAAACTAGAGCTTTCACTCCCGCCGCCGCCGCCACCATTGGCGAGCGCACATCCGAGCTCTCGCTCTCCCAGCCTCGGTGTCGGAGCGAGACCCGCGCTGCACCGGCGCCTGCGCCGCCACTCCGGTAGGCCACATCGGGCAGGTCCCCGGCTGTGCGGATTCCCTCCCTGCCTTCTCTCAAACGTGCATAGACAAAGGAGGAGGCGGCGGTGCTTCCTGCATGCTCGTCGGCGGTGCTTCCCGACCTCATGCATGGCGGATCCAGCAGCAAGCCCCTCCCGTCCCCTCCCTCGGTGGCGCCACCACATGCCCTCGACCGACGGCTGCGCAAGCGCCTCCTCCCCGACCGACGCGCGCACCCCTTCCCCTTTCGGTGGTGGTGGCGTCTGCGCTCCGGCCAGGGTTGCCGTCCGTCAAAATCCCGGCAACCTGCACCAAGTTACTAGCTTTTCCCGTCCATCCCTTCCAAGCAAGCTGTCTGCATCTTCTGATCTTGGCATCCTGCAGGTGTGTGTGTACCGGCGGACGGTCTCCCGACCATCGGCAGCTAGCTCGGAAGCCGGATGCCTGAGCTCCTCGTACTTCTGTATTTCAGTTTGATTTGTCATGGCGTACCCCTTCACTTTGGGCGCGGTCCACGGAGCTCGCGTGCACGGGCCGAGGAGCTCGTCGGAGCAGGAGACCACCACCGACGGGGAGGACGAGGGGAACACCACCGGTGGGGAGGAGCAGCAGAGTACCGGCGGGGGCGGTGACAGAACCAGCGTGAGGCTGGCTCAAGCCTGGCCTAAGAAAAACAGCCGGTTCTTACGTGGTCCAACCAGACCAGGTTGGGGGCGCGGACCCAACTATGGCTCAGGGACACCAGATGTCCAAAATGAAATTTTCTCTCTCCTTAACCGACTGAAACTAGGCCACGGTGTTCTGTCTCCTAATTTCAACGAGCTAGAGTGTCTTCTGGCAAACTGCTCAAAATGGGGTGTCCGTCAATAAATGACCATTACTTTGAATGTTCGCGGACAATTGCCCCTATATTTAATGATTGCTGGATCACGCCTACGGACATGAAAGGGCATGTTTGCATGTGTAAGTTTATAAGGTGATGTTTGTCTTTCCTAAGGGATCACTCATTTCCGCTGACCATCCTTGTTGTTCATGTACTTCTTTGAGATCCATTCTTGAATTTATTTAATCTTTCTTGTTTTTAGTGGTTTAAACCTGGTAGTTTTCAATCTATGAAGTTGACACTTATGTGATGTTTCTAAACGAAAAACGGGAGCTGAGTTGTGCTTGTGTAAATGAAACTATGTACCCTTTTGGTGATGATTGAGAGGTTAGCATTGACATTTCTATTACTTTGTTTAATCTGAACTAAGGTCTTGTTTAGATTGGGGTTAGGAATCAGTATTTGGCACTGTATCACTTTCGTTTGTATTTGACAATTATTGTCCAATCATGGCCTAACTAGGCTCAAAAGATTCGTCTCGTAATTTACAATCAAACTGTGTAATTAGTTATTTTTTTATCTACATTTAATACTCCATGCATGTGTCCAAAGATTTAATGTGATGGAGAAAGAGTAAAAAAACTTACAATCTAAACAAGGCCTAATATGCATATTTGTAACTTGTGCGCGGGATCTTTGGAGATAACTTCTAGTTATCCGTACTCTTTTCCCATGAGCCATGACATATCACACCGACCTTCAGTCTTATCTAGGCGATGGCAAAAAAACTAGGCGATGACATATCACACTACCCTTCGGTCTTACAAGTGACTTTACCCAAGAAAAAAAATAGGCCATGGCATATCACAGATCCATAGTAGCCTTAGCCTTAAGCTTGTGCAAGGCTGCAAACCATGACACAGACAGCTTGAACCGGAAATTTTGACTTCTATGTCATGTGTTGTTCTATACATTGTTCATCATTTTATCTAGGGAATATAAGTGGGCTACTCCATGAACTTGTATATAGATTTATTTTATGAATTGCCACGAACAACCAAAAATTTAAGTTTATATATATATGTTAGTAGGCTATCCCGTTTGCATCTCTAATTTTATCTGAGCTTTGCAATCTGAGTGTAAAAATCAAGAATAGAAGGTAGGTTCACCTACGTGATGTTCAAGAATTAAGGTTTACCTGAGTTTTGCAATCCCAGTGTAAAAATCAAGCAAAAAATTGTAGGTTCACATAAGTGATGTTCAAGAATCAAGGAGGCCGTATTATCGTGGGAATGAGACGCACCACCGCGTGCTTGTGTTCGTTTTTCGGGAGTTCGGGTGGTCTCGGCAGAACGCCTGCACTGCCGCACCCGCGTTCGCGTGATCGCATACCTCGCGTCCTCGCTTGAGCTCCCCCCACGAGGCACGAGCACGAGTCCTAGTCCACTCCACTAGCGCACAACGCTCGCTTGCTCCACGCCACTCTACCACTACTACTAGTGGAGGTAAAAGTTTCTCAAAAACAAAATACACAATAGTAGAAGTAGATATGATCACATACTACATGGATCTTTTTTTTTGACAATGATGTTTTTTGAGTTTTGACTGATTGTCCGATCGAAAAGAGTTCAGTAGTAGTTATTTAGTGTATTTTTAAATATTCATAATCTTATTTGATATTAAATACGAATAAAGATACTTATTTTGCATACCTAGTCTGAATTCTCAAACATTGGACGTTGCTTGCTGCACCCTGGTTTAGCTCCTATATATCCCCATCGTGAATGTCTTAATTTAAATCCTTTGTAATATATTATATAAATACTAACATGATTATATAAAAGAACAACTACCTAGTCTTCTCATAATCCGTCTTTGTCAAACTTATTAACATTGTTACTACCTTGAATTGTTGTGAGAGAAAAGCCGTTTTCTCTCACAACAAATCAACGGATTTAAAGAACAACTATTTGGACGTTGGACGTTGCTTTTTGGTTGCTCCTGTGCCCCCCTCGTAGAATGTCTTAATCCTTTGAAGCCTTATTAGATTAGAATCAAAGATCAGTTTTTTAGGAACACTATACATTGGAACATAAAGATGTTATTACGGATCAATAACTTTTAGATGAAATGTAAAAGATGGAGCAATCGATTTTGTACAACACAAAATAAATTGATAAAAATATTGTGACTGACATTATTTGCATTTTATTCGTCCCATTTTTAATATATAATTTAATTTTATTCGTGATCAAAACCATCCGTATTTGTATTACTGTCCTGTGCGTATCCAAGGACATTGGATCTTGTTTAGATTTTATTTGAGTTTATAGAAGGGAAAAAGAATAGCCCAGGGGTAGTTTGGGGAAAAATATTTGGATGTTGCCGAATGTGAAAATTCCAGGCTTCCAGCGGACGCTTCTCCTCCGGTCTGCACAGTCCATCTCCACCCCGTTTCCTTCCCACCACCACGGAAACTGCCGCCGCCGCCTCATTGGGACTCCTCATTGAGCACTGAAGAACAGCTGCCGTTACAGTGCCGCTTCAGCTCGATTTGACGATGGAGGTCCTCGAATCGGTGCTGGCCGAGTTCATCGGCTACATTAAGTCGAAGCACTCACGGATGGACCAGCGCCGGGGCCTCCTGCGCCAGCTGGTGCGCGTGGTGGTCGACGCCGCCGAGGGCGGCGCGGGGGCGGCCGTGCGGGACGAGTCGTTCTCGGCCTCGCTGCAGGTGCCCCGATCCGAGGCGCTGCGGGGGCAGGAGGTGCTCGATGCCGCGGCCGTCGCCAGCTCCGCCCGCCGCTTCCTCGCGGCGCTCTTTGTCTGCAACGCCGAGGTGGACCGCCTCACGAAGGCCGTCGAGGACGACATATTCGTCAGGGTCCTCAGCATGGACGCCGCCCGGGCCGCCGCCACGGAGGACGACATGGACGTCGACAGGGACGCCGCCCGGGCCGCCGCCACGGAGGACTACATGGACGTCGACGGGCGCCCGGAGCCCGGTGCTCGCCACCGGAAGGAGGGGAGCGACCGCAGCTGCGCGTCCGCGGGCTCCGTCGCGGCCCTCCTCCCCTCGCCTGGCGCCAAGAGAAAACGCGTGTGTGGCGGCGGCGAGGTCGACACGGTGCAGCCGCAGAAGCGGCGGCTCCTGGCGTGGACGCGGTCGCACCAGCGGCTCCGGTCCGGCTTCGGCAGGGTCTCCTCCGCAGCTCGTAAGCCGCCGCCGGCGGCGTTGCCTCGCTCGCGTCCTGCTCGGACGGTGGCATTGGCGTATTCTAGGTTTCGACGCCGCATCGGAAGGCCGACGACGACGAGGCACCGGCCGCAGCCCAGTCTCGGACAACACTTCTCGCGGATTACGTTGTAGACGAGGACCCGACGGGGTTTGAAGGGAGGTACGCTATCGCCTATGATTTCTTAGTGCAATTTGCAAAATTATGGGATTACTCTAGCAATTGGTGGACTGAATTAGCCTACTGGTAGTGGTAGTTCTTCATCTTTGAATGAATTTAGAATCAATGAACGTAGCAGTAGCAGTAGCTGCAGCAGAGTAGTAGTACTACTTCAGTTATTTTGAGATATTGGTAGATTCAAGCTGCACTTGTGAGCTGGGACTCCAGCTTAGTATTAGTGCTAATTCTACTGTTGACTGTTGACCGTGACGAACTGATGGATAACGTCAGGATCTTTATGTGTGCTGTTTTGTTGTGCGATGTTGTTTCTTTCAGCTTAGAGCAGCACGTGCTCACTCGGTATGAAAGGAATGTAATTTCTCGTTTCTTGAGGAGCTAATTAGTCTCAGTTCTAAGTATACTACACTAGAAACACAGGCGCGGCCTTGCCGCGCCATACTAGATCTGGCCCGTTCATTTCTCGTAGCGCATGTCTGGCGTCACTTTATTAATAACAATCTATTTATTTACCAACATATAGTTTGGAGTATAACTAAGTAGAGGCTGCTATGTATAATAATATCAGTTTGTATATTAAAAAATGAGTAACCGTATAGTCACAATTATTTTTTTGCAAAACATTTTAAATAGATATCAAGGATCATAGATGTGATTTAGACCTGCTGAAATGATAGGTACCATGAGTTGCAGCAAAAGTTATTGTAATTCAAGTGCTTTAGAATACTTGCGCTTATCACATTGAAATTAAACGTGTTCTTCTGCAAAGATTCCTGTCGGTTGATTCAGATAATAGTTTCTTGAAATGCAAATGAGTGTCAAAACATTAGTACAGTTGAGGTTACCTATTTTTTTTTTCCACACTCAAACGCACACTTACATCCTAGCTAGTTAAAACATGACTCTACTAGCCACAGGACCCTGCTGCATGGCTCAGCCCTGAATTATGGTTCCTCAATCTCAAACATATTGCAGGAAGCCAGGAATACATAGAACATGCAACTTTTTCAAGAAAAATGTTAGAAAACAGGAGCAAGATAAGGGCGTACCCAGTGCAGAGAGCTCCCGCTCTGTGCGGGGTCTGGGGAAGGGTGTCAGTGGTAAGCCTTACCCTCGCATGTGCAATGCTAGGAGACCGCGACTCGAACCCGGGACCTTCCGGTCACAGGCGGTAAGACTCTACCGCTTGCACCAGGCCCGCCCTTCAAAACAGAAGCAAGATAGAGAAGAAATATAATGCACTCTATCTGGGAATTTTACTACTACCATATTCCCATTTTCTTTGATAGTCATCACTTGGAGATAGTCATCAGAACATCAGAAGAAAATTTTCTTATGTTCCACATCTCTGTTTGTCATACTAACTTAGCTACATGATAATATCTAAGCAAAGATTTAATAATTTTAACATATCCGGTGTTGCTGCGACGTTTGGATGGCTCAGTGTGATCATTCCCGTGTTGTTTCGGTCTATGGCCCTAAAATGTACACATGTATTTATACCTGATGTACAATGAAACAAAAAGGCTATCTCTGATCACTAATGCCACCACCGGGTATCATGTTATCAAGAAAATTTTGATTAGTATGCTTGTTATCACAATAACTATCCAAAGAATACAAATAAGAGAAGTGTGTATGTGCGCATTCAGATGGCAACAATAGTCTACAGTTTCTGTCGTTGTTTATATGAATGCAGACTGATTGTGTGTGAGACACAGATAATAAATCTGAGATTTTGTTGGTCAAACCTTAACATGCTGTCATCTGCGCATAAAAGTATTTACAATTTTCTATCTACCGGAAATATAGTATCAACGGTATTGAGGAGGGAAAAGGACTCAGCATGATTTTTAACCTGTGATCACCCTGACCTTGCAGCAAAGAAGATGATCAGTTAAAAATATAACAGGGAAGAAATTACTTAAGTGTATCTACCAACTTGTTTTTTTTTTTTTGCCAGAAAGCACAATTTCAGCATAATTATGAAATAGGTAACATATGCACATCAAATTAATAATCAAAGAGAAAATTGTTAACCAGTAATGGAAATTAGAAATTAGATTTACACGTTGATGTATGTCATGTCTACTTGCTGACTATTTTGTCTTTGGGGCAAATTGGCAACATGTAAAGCACCAGGAGCTCCAGTTTATATACTTAAAGTTCATTTAATCAAGTCAGCAAGGGGTATAATCTTCAAATTGTCCCTTTCAGCAAACACACGTAATTTTGGCAGGGGAGCCATCTGCATCGTCCACAATCTCAAAGAACAACAGTATGAGAGGTAAGTTGTGATTCAAATTTGTGAGAATAAATAGATGGCAACTATTTAGGGAAGCCACAACGTTAAATTGGTATGCTTTGAGATGCTTTAACTCTTAAAAAAATTTGGAATGACTTATAAATTGGGACGGATGGAGTATCTATTGTTGTTCTGAGTGGAGAAATGGAAAGGTTTTCACGGGATTCGAACGGATCACACTCAGGTGCCACCAGTTCTTTCGACGATCCATGCTGCTTTGCACTGAGATCTAGCTTTCCTTAGGTGCGGGTTTATGTTGAACTAAGATGAATAAGATGCAAGAGGAAGAGTACTCTGTCCAAGCAACGGAGGAGCATTCGTAAGAGTACTTCACTGAGGTGTAAGGTCCCGGGATTGCCAGCGCCTCTCGCGTAAAAAAGTTCCTGCTTGGTGGCATTTATCACCTAGCGATATATATTGGCCACTTTGTGACCCCTTTCAGAACAAAATTCTCAAGCAGGAATGCAGGATCAGTACATCACACTCGAAAAGGGATGGATAAACAAACCTACCCACGACACTTCTTCAGCATGCAAAGCTACGGGAGCAACAGTTAAGCAAAAATAATATACGTCCCAGGTGCATTAAAAACTTCAGTACATACATACCCAGGAGGATTACAATTATTCTGTATCGGGTTCACAAGACTCACGCAGCGGAATGCGCATGACAATTACAAAAGACAGAGCTCAACGGGAGTTAGGCCTTGTTTAGTTCAGAGAAATCTCATATTGTAGATTTTTTATGGTGGCAGCTTATTGTCCAATGACATGTCCTCAGGGAAAAAAATTAAACTGTGTGATTAGTTTTTTTTATCTACACCACTCAGATCCATATGTGATGAGATTCACATCCTGGAGTTAAACAAAGCCTTATTATGTGTCATTCCTGCGCCAAAAAAAAAAACACATAGCACCACTCAGATCCATAGGGCCATTCACATCCTGGAGTTAGCAGAAGCCATGTGTCATTCCAAGCGCCAAAGCACATAGCAGCTGGGATTATCATATCAATGAGGTCAGATCATACCTTGTTCTCAAGCACAACTCCATCTGGAATCACCTTGCCCTCGAGATAACACGAACAATATGAACCAGGCACTATTCACTGACACAAATGCTGCAGCTCAGTGAAGAGGCAATACTGGAATGAGCCGATGCAAATCAGAACAGACAGAAACGGTTGACAAAATTAGGATAACGTATTCACGCCCATTTATAAAGTCATAAAGTATCTAATGGCCACAGATGGCAACCAAGGAGAAAGAACTATCCAATCACAACGTTTACCTTTAGTGTAGTTCCAGAACCGAAGCAGACATCACCATGCTCAAAACTATCAAGGTCAACAATGCTGGGATGGACTTGAACCGAGCAAGAAAATAGGAAACTGTAAATTATTAGGGGGAATATTTCATCAGTGCATGTTGATAAATAATTTCACACAAGTTAAGGAGCTGCAGTTTTTACTGTTCAATGGTTTCATCAGCACACGACTTTGTGAAGGAATATTCTCTATGCACTGATGGAATTCTATTATATTAAAGATATCTTCACTATCGTGTAGACAAACTGCTTTACCTTCTTGAACTCAGGTCCAAGCTCAAACGAAGGGTCTCAGTTGGATTAGCTCTGGTTATGTTGCAGATGATAAAACCATCAACCAAGGTGTAAAGACCAGGATGTGGGGACAATAAAACGAGCTTAGCATCGATAGCATCGAGCCATCAACAGAAATGAACTTGTCAACAGGCTTATTATTATATCAAACTAATAAAATGTGGCAGAACCGCCGAATTTAACCTAATCCTAAATATACTTGTCAGCCATTTGACACTAAGTATACCAGAGATCAAGTTAAACCCGGTAGTCTGTCGATTACACTCCACGAGAGGACTAGAAAATCCACGTTTTCATCATGACCATAAACAAGTGAATAAAGCTTACGTCATTTATTAACAATTTCATACATCACAACATTACATAAAATCAAAGTTAAAATAGATTTCATAAAAGCGCTGAAAAAAGATCATTTTACAAAGGCAGCGGAAGTTAACAATTTTGAATATTGAAGCAGAAGTAGAGATGGAAGAGTAATAAAACTTCTACAATCATCGCAACAAAGAAAGCCTCACTAAGCCCACCAGGAGGTATCCACAAACAACATTCAGCTCCAACAGCCACCTGTTACCTGCAACAGAGGGGAATAAAACCCTGAGTACACGATGTACTCCGCCAGACTTACCCGACTAGGTGGAAGTAGTCTCCCGACTCTCAAGGATATGTGAGGGCTATTTGACTAGCTGTTTAGTTGTTTTGCAGAGAAGTGTTACTAATAGTACATCCTTATATTTAAAGTTTTAACGGTCACATCAAGTTTATTACTTAGCCATTTTAGGTAAGCGCATAAACCGCTTTCAAGCATGTGATAAGCAACCAAATCATATTTCATGATCCAGCACTAACCATATCATCATCTCTAGTTTCTAGTTGCATTATCTACGATGGCAGTGATATGACAAGTGGTATCCATATCTGAGGAGGGCGGCGATTGCAATCGATGTACATTCAGCTGGGCAATCCCAAACACACGCTCGTACTTCTCGAAGGAGCAAGTACAAGGTTGTCGTTCCCATGGTACAACCAAGGCCCG